GTTTAACGCCGCACTATTCCAGCTATATGGTGGCGTCAGTAAATAATCCAGTCTTAAACCAGACAATCCAGTGATCAACATCATGAGCATCGATCAAGGCAATTGGCATACAATGACATGTGTCAACCAAGTCAGGGAGTCTGACCACCCGATTCTTTTAGTCGCCTCTTAAGTCAAGCATGGGTTACTGAAAACCAATTCTAACCCGGATCTTCATGGCCATTGGGTCTGCATAGGTAAGAAGTACATCAACAAGATATTCAAGAACAAGTACAAGTATGCATGTCAATAAATCAAAGAGGATTCATGCTTAAATCAGTGTTCATGAATGGTGTTGCATAGTTTGTCTGGCCCATTGAAAATTCACAGGACTGACTGACTGAGTATGGTTTTACGCTTTTAGCAATCTTCCAGCAATATTATTATCACGGCAGGGGACACCAGAAATGGGCTTCACACATTGTACCCATGTGCGGAATCGAACTCGGGCCTTCGGCGTGACGAGTGAACACTTTAACCACTAGGCTACCCCACCGCCCGAAAAATCACTGGACCCATAGAATAAAATTAACACACATTTCAGATTTAACATTTCTTATAACTGGCATTGAAATTATCAACAAACATAAGATTTATAAACTGCAAACAAGTGTCACACTGTACAAAATGCACAATGTACAAGATGTCCATAGGACCCACCTTTTCTGAGAGGATGTGTACTATTAGAATACATTCATCATGTTTAATGCAACAGATGATAATTTACTTTTCTGACAGGTTTTAAGAATAAATAGGAAGTCATCACTATATGAGTATATGACAAACACTTGGTATGCAATGCCAGTATATTAGTTGACACACGACACAGATGGTATGTGTGCATCTCCAAATACATTTCATGAATCAAGGATACAGTAAGTGCCAAAATGAAAAGCACTGATCCCAGGAATCCACCTAGGATTGTGAAGTACTCTGTTGATGCCAGCTGTTGACGAAACATCTGCATGCCGGCAAACAGCAGAACACCAAGAGTGCCGGATATCAGCATCGATGGTCTACTTGACAAAGCTGGAAGAAATGAATAAGCATCACTAATGTACGAAAAATATATCTCTTCATCAGAAAATATATGGAACTTCAAAAGTTAAAGATAGTTTGCATACATCATGTAGGCATAAGAATTATTGCAATATGCTGTTTTCACAATAACCATCATAAAGGGCGTCTTACTGCAAGCTCCTAAACTCGTGACTCACTGATTTCATTCTTGGTTTATAACACTGAAATAAAAAAATCAATAGAGGGGGTGGGGGGTGGGGTTTTGGTAGAAGGATTCAGTGATGAAGCATATGAGGTCTAAAACTATAACATGCTTTGTCAGCAATAACAGCAGTAATGTCAGCCATTTGCAGGGGCCTTTGTTACATGAAGTAGAACAAATATTAACCCCCATAGATTTTTAATACATATATCTACCTGTTCCAAGTTTGGTCACCAGAAAAGCATCTTATTTTGTACAAAACTGGTTAACCATTCTGCAGTTGCTTAGTTTACTTGAATTTTTATTCCTTCTGTAGCTAAGTGTTATACTTGTTTCAAGGAGGGACTGGACTGCCCCATTATTAGCACTGTGTAGTTTTGGGACATTACTGAGTTCTATAATGGTAGATTCCATTGAACAAAATTACCCCCCACTTTACTCAACTAACAGTAGCTGATCATTGATGGGGAATTTGAAATGCTTTTCCACACAAATCATAACAACACCGAAAGATACTGCAAGAACATTGTAGATTATACTGGGACTCTCTATTATCGCGGGCTCTCTATTATCGCGGCATGCGAAAACATCGGGGAAAGCAGACACACCACGCCCAGCATCGGCTGTTTACTTATGCAAATTACATAAAATATATTCATCGCTCTTGAAAAAGTCATTTATTTCATTGGAATGTCATGTCTAATCGTAGAAATATTAATGCATTCATCTTTTCAGTAAGTTCTGGAACATTTTGAAACTAGCATGACCCCTACTGCCATTACATCTAGCATGAATCAAAACTTACTTCGTCAAGAATAATCCTGCGACAACTATAACGTCATTTGCATATTTTCCGTGCTAAAAATATAACAGGAAGTGACGTATTAAGCAACTTCACTCTACACACGGCAGCAACTTGTATGGTACGTTTTAAGGCGGAAAAACATCATTTTGTAACGTTATTGTTACCTTGTACCCAAATGAGTTGAAGTTTCAGATGTTTTGGTTAAAAACATTATGATATTACTAATGTGAATGAAATTCCTAAATATTTTTTAATGATCAAACTATTTAGATTCGTTACTTGTCTTAGTAAATGTTTCACAGTGTCATCTGCTTGTACCGCGTGCCATAGTAAGAAAATAGCAATACCGCGATAATAGAGAGTTGCTTCCATTTCCGGGTCAAACGAAACAATCGGATTGCCGCAATGGTATTACACGAGTTGCGACTATGTGCCACATTATTTGTGAAAGAAACGAAGATTATACATCAGTCAACTGAAAATATATAAAATATGCTAAATGTCAGTAGCCCTTCATAATCCCGATGGCGACAACATTAACTACCGCGATAATAGAGGGTCCCATGATACTACCAAAACACCATTATTCCACAAACATGCCAGGTTTGCCGTAACGCATGAAACTGTTGACAGGTTGATATAGCATGTACAGATCACCAACTCAACTCAAGGTGGGTGTTGAAGCTCCTGTAAAATCCTTATGACGAACCAATGATTTATGACACACAATCAATATTCACTGTTCTTTAACCTACATATATGCCTCGATATTAGACTCGGGGCCTAAGCAGAGAACGTTCAGGCAGCATTTAAAGACAGACAATCCGATAAACTTTGCAGCATCCTGGGTTTGATGGGAGATAACTCCATATGATGTCCACGTCACAACACCGGTAGATGTTGTCCAACGCAAGTAAACTCACATTTTGTGTACTGAAAATAACCTAAAGGGTCTGAAAAAGAGGTAACCGACCAAAGAAAACACCATACTACGGTTATAAATAGGTATGCACCCCTTTTTCATCCCGATGAAACATTTAAACTCAGGCAAGGTGAGGTGGACACGTTATCGTGGTTAGGACCTTATTTCTTTGCAAGAGGAAAGAATTAAAAGACAATCTTTCCCTTCCATTCCTAAAATAGAAATGAATTTCTCAAACCTAGACAATGTTGCATTAGTGTTGCTGGGTTTGTTTAACATACATCGCCACTTACCCATCTTTATCCTATATTGACGTGTTTACAGCAGAAGAGGGGCACTGACTTGGATCATGCGTGGTATACAACTTCCGGTCGAGGGGAGTAATCATTGAATCGTAATGTCGTATACGCGTACTTCCCACAGAGAAAAGTCACAGTCCAGGTGTTTGGATGTACAGTCTCCGTTAATTTAAGTAGGAATTTTCAAAAGACAAAATATAACCGATAGCGAGGTCTAGCGTTAGCACAACCAACAACATTTAATGCAACGAATATAGTGGGAGTGAAAGTTACTAACAACACAACTTTCTTGAGGCAGTTTTATAGCATTGTTTACATTGGTTAATGAGTTATCCAAGTAGTTTTGTGAATTAATCATTTCGATTCACTTATATTTAATGCTTATATGCAGAGTATGGAATAAATAAAGAATCTCACCGTGTGTCTTTGGATTTAAAATGTGTCAGCTCAAGTCGATAAAAGTTGAGTTTTGACATCAGGAGTGAGATATTCTATTGATCAACCAACATCGTCATTCTTCAATATTGTTTCAAAATTTAAACAGTAATAACCATTGTCTTGAGAGTGAAAAGTACAACTAGTGACAATTTATTGATAGGGAGATTACTTATGTCATTTTACTGTGACATTGTTTTCTCCTGTTTGGGCCTTTTTGGACGACAATCATAGAATTCATATGGAACATATATATCAATCGTCGAGAAAACAGGTTACTCGGATTATTCAAAAAAGATACTTGAACAAAAGTTTCGAGAATAATTAAAACGTTACTAACGATAACAACAATAATACTGTGTTATCTGATTATATCTCACTTGATAAAAGTCTTTGGGGAGGAGAGGTCAGGATATGCTATAGTCGGTGTCGCTGACACTTTCGATGACAATCCGGCGTCTTTTGACTGGAACCGGGCTTCGAGGTTTAAACAGTTTAATCGTTAATGTTTCTACCACAATGTGGTCCGTAAACGTAGTGTTGTCAACACAAAACACATATATAATTTTAAGCCGCTGACTATGTCGTCTACTTGCGATTTGGACATCACGTTCACAAAGATGTCTCACCTCTGGTAAGTTCCTTTGCATGTATTATGAACATATGTATGTCATTGGGATATGAAATTCATGTTTTTTTTATGTCACTAGCCTATGTCATGGATAAATGCTTTAGTAGATTTATACTCACGCTGTTAATCACTGGATTTTCTGGTCCAGACTCGATCATTTACAGTCCGCCGCCATATAGCTGGAATTTTGCTGAGTCGTTAAACAACAAACCAACCAATCATAAGGAGGTTAGAATGTGGTGTTTTATTATATTATATAGTCAACTATTTGTTTATCCTTTTAACTGTATATCTCTAATATAGAATATTTTGTAATATCTACATTACATGGAATGTTGTAAATATATTGTATACTTTACGTCATGATACGTTGGTTTGTACTGTGATCGGTAGTAACTATAGTGACCAGTTAAATATGATTTTGTTAGTATATTTAGTAGTATTTCAGTACACAGAGCCTTGTATGAGTTGATGAATTATTTATTACATAGATCTATGATATGTTTGGTTAATGTGTGCTGATGTAGTGCATATATTAGGTAAATATTACTGCGTGCATGTGCGTAAGTGTGTATGAGGAAGTATGTGTCTGCATGTGTGCGCATGCGTAGAATAATTGATGCGTAATATTGTTGTGGCATTTTATCATTAGGTATTGGAGGCACATATTCTTTACTGGTGCTTCACTATGGAGCGCCTGCATCCCTGAGGTTAGGTTAGTATTTATCTGCCAAAGATTATTTGTATATGTTATGTTCCGGATGAATATTTTATCTTACATATGATATTTGTATCTGTAACAGCATACTGGTGTTTGTTCTGTCTGATTGTAATACATTGTATATATTTAGATAAAGTAATACTTATGGTATATAGCAAAAGCTAGATGTAACAACGTAATGGCTGTTTCATGAGAAACCTGTAACTGTATACTAGTAATTTAACCTTATGGTTAGGTTTGTGTTTTGTTTCAGGATATTTATCACCATATCTACTGTGAGTGATCACCATACTCCAGATTGTACAGACATAAAATCCCATGAACCCCCAACAAGTATTCCTCGTTTTCCATCCAAGGACGTAGTACCTCTGTTACACAAAACTCAGGTAATGATCAAATCTTTTTTTTTATCAACATTAAATATAAAGAACAAAACTGCATAGCACTGCGTCAAAAATATCGAATAAGTTATATTACATATTCATGTACCCGTGAACATCAGGGACGGTGGGGTAGTCTAGAGGTTAAAGCGTTGGCTCGTCACGCCGAAGAACCGGGTTCGAATCCCCACATGGGTACAATGAGTGAAGCCCATTTCTGGTGTCCCCCGCCGTGATGTTGCTGGAATATTGCTAAAAAGCGGCGTAAAACCAAACTCAGTCAGTCAGTCGTGAACATTATGGTTAGAACTGGTCTCCAGCAACCCATGCTTGTCGTAAGAGGCGACTAACGGGATCGGGTGGTCAGGCTCGTTGACTTGGTTGACACATGTCATCGTATCACAATTGCGTATATCGATGCTCATGCTGTTGATCACTGGGTTGTCTGGTTTAAGACTGGATTATTTACTGACGCCATCATATAGCTGGAATAGTGCGGCGTTTAACGACGAATATATTCATGTGCTGTGGTTTGCCATCGTTTGTTGTTAGGTGCTCTTGTGTCAGTATATCTTCATCTCTGGTTGAGGGGTGGTTAGGCAGACCGATGGATAAAGTTTTCGCTTGTCACGCCGAAGTCCCCGGTTCGATTCCCCACATACCATGTATAAAGCCGGTTTCAGATATCTCCTGCCGTGGTATTGCTGAAATACTGCCTAATACAGCGTAATGCCGTGGTATTGCTGAAATACTGCCTAATACAGCGTAAGACCATGCTCATTCACTCACTAAGCGACTGGTTAACTTATATCATACACCAGGTCACGAAACCTTAGAAGCACTTCCAGCTAAATCGCTTACTTCAAAACATGTATCTATGTTAATAACCTACTTACGAATTCAACGCGAAACCTGCACAGCACGGGTCTGATTATCATGATAGCTTAGAAAACATGGACGAAAAAAACTCCAGTAAACGAGCTTGACAACGATTTGTCTTCCAATTACACTACGTGGCATTGCAAGATAGAGGAGAGTTCCAGCAATATGGCAGTGCCTGGCATGTATAGAAGCCAAGTTTAGACAGTGTCCAATAAGCGATGGCATTTTATAATGACGGGCTGAAGAGGTCGATTAAACAACTGGATACCTCGTGCAGCAGTTACACCGTTTTATACCCCGTGCCTGGTCTCATTATCTGAAATACAGGATCAGATATTTATAGCATCAAGTAGTGTTAGTAAATTATATGATATGGTTTCCGTGACATGAGTGTAAGAAGTGACTTACAGTAGCCTGTCTTGGTAGTGCATCATACTAAGCTGTCTCATTCGTGCTTTACAGATGTGTCTCGGTGTCAGTAGTGTGTCGCACAGATTGTCTGGATAGTGTCTCGAGGTAGTTTGTCACAGTAGACTGTCTGGATAGTGTCTCGAGGTAGTTTGTCACAGTAATCGGTCTGGATAGTGTCTATCGGTAGTGTGTCACAGTAGACTGTCTGGATAGTGTCTCTCGGTAGTGTGTCACAGTGGGCTGTCTGGATAGTGTCTATCGGTAGTGTGTCACAGTAGACTGTCTGGATAGTGTCTATCGGTAGTGTGTCACAGTAGACTGTCTGGATAGTGTCTATCGGTAGTGTGTCACAGAGGACTGTCTGGATAGTGTTTCTCAGTAGTGTGTCACAGTAGACTGTCTGGATAGTGTCTCTCAGTAGTGTGTCACAGTAGACTGTCTGGATAGTGTTTCTCGGTAGTGTGTCACAGTAGACTGTCTGGATAGTGTTTCTCGGTAGTGTGTCACAGTAGACTGTCTGGATAGTGCCTGTCGGTAGTGTGTCACAGTAGACTTTTGGGATAGTGTCTCTCGGTAGTGTGTCACAGTAGACTGTCTGGATAGTGTCTCTCAGTAGTGTGTCACAGTAGACTGTCTGGATAGTGTTTCTCGGTAGTGTGTCACAGTAGACTGTCTGGATAGTGCCTGTCGGTAGTGTGTCACAGTAGACTGTCTGGATAGTGTCTCTCGGTAGTGTGTCACAGTAGACTTTTGGGATAGTGTCTCTCAGTAGTGTGTCACAGTAGACTGTCTGAATAGTGTCTCTCGGTAGTGTGCCACAGTAGACTGTCTGGATAGTGTCTCTCGGTAGTGTGCCACAGTAGACTGTCTGAATAGTGTCTCTCGGTAGTGTGCCACAGTAGACTGTCTGGATAGTGTTTCTCGGTAGTGTGCCACAGTAGACTGTCTGAATAGTGTCTCTCGGTAGTGTGCCACAGTAGACTGTCTGGATAGTGTCTCTCGGTAGTGTGCCACAGTAGACTGTCTGAATAGTGTCTCTCGGTAGTGTGCCACAGTAGACTGTCTGGATAGTGTCTCTCGGTAGTGTGCCACAGTAGACTGTCTGGATAATGTCTCTCGGTAGTGTGCCACAGTAGACTGTCTGGATAATGTCTCTCGGTAGTGTGCCACAGTAGACTGTCTGGATAGTGTCTCTCGGTAGTGTGCCACAGTAGACTGTCCGGATAGTGTCTCTCGGTAGTTTGTCACAGCAGATTATTTGGATAGTGTCTCGCTGTAGTGTATCACAGTAGGCTGTTGGGATAGTGTTTCTCGGTAGTGTCACTGGTTCATGCAAACTGTTTTGTTTCATGCCTGAATTTCTTCATTTGTCGAGAACGTTTTACACCAGACATGTCTTCTGGACATGCAATTGTTCAGTTGTTTACATATTGTTTACTGTATTGCAAATTTATTGTACATTTCAATTTATTTCTGTCATATCTATCTATATTCCATATTTTATACTCTTAACATCATGCACATTGTAAGTGTTGTTTTCAGTTTTCCGCCATGTCCTTAGCAAAGTTCCTTCACATACAACATAACAGTTGGCTTCAGTTTTGTTGGACATGGGTGTTCACTGGTCTCTCAGTCAGCGAGTGAGTGGACATTAACGCTGTTTTAAACAATAATTCAGTACCACAGTATGTCACTGTGGACTGCGCTCTTACAGGCCTACTACCTTGTTGGGAAACCCGGGATGCTGCCTAATATAATCAAGGTGAACTTTGGATTCGATCCCATTGATTATCGGAACACGAAACGCCTAATGAAAGCAGGTCATGATCATATACCGTGAATTGTAGAACCTCTTGCGAGATAACGGTATGTATACAACATGTTCAAGGAGAATGGGCCTTGGAGGCATCTAGTTGTCCGTTTTCAAGTAATTCAAGAGATTTGTGTTTCTCCTTAGTGATGACGTCGAATCCTCCACAGAGAAATCTTCAAAGGATGTACTTGGTAATTACTTCATTGTCGACAGTTCAATCAATACCAGGAACATTAAATTACGATGCACATCTGGGCTATGGTCTGATATCCATTCTTTCAAGTACATTAGATGAAGAAACCAATGGAATTGGCTAAGTAAGTTGAGTTTCATACTCAAGTTGTATCCAGGAGTGCCGGATCCTGACACGACTACAGGAAGGAAGTAAGAACAGCGATTTCCGAAAGCCCTGAATCACTAACTACGCCACACCGGTCGCTGAAGTCACTGGAAGCAGTAATCTAGGAACGGAATGCATGCAGGTTCAATCAGCTCTATGCTGTGCATAGCCATCAGCGGAACAACCATCCAAAATGTAACACTGAAGCTCAACACTGATACCTTTAATATCGCTGCCCCGTGAACTTCTGAAAAATACGGATATAATAGTGACAATATAACCCTTCGGATGGACTATTAATTGCTATCAGGATACATATTTATCTGTGTCTACCAAAAGAATTTTCATACCAGGACAAAAAACCGGAAAGTAGACTTTTTGTGGACTTGGGTGGCAGAAAACGTTCTCTTGGGATGAGTGACATTGACATGTATTTATTTAGCTGGGGTTGGGCATAAGGCACTTGTGTCGTTGGTTAAATATTTTCCAATGAATTGATATTTCGAATGTCAGAAGTGCAGATTTCTGGCAATCGTCAAATTAACTGATCTTAAATATTTATGAAACAACACAAGGGCTTGTGGACAGGACATGTTCATCCCTTTTGCAAACGCCTGTTGCCTTTGTAATTTGACAGTGATTGGCGCAAGTAGGTTTCTGTTCCTGTGTCTTCATTGTATTTGGAATCTGGTTTTCTTTTATTTGATAGAGACGAGTGAAATGAAATGTCGATCATTCACAGAACACTGGCATGGAGAAAGAGACTTCTAACAGCATGTCGAAGAAACAATATCATGAAAGGTAAAGCATATACCCAGCTATCTTTTATATTGTACCATTCAAAAAGGTAGGGGATATTCCATTTTGCGAACATACCAATAGCCAATGCCAATGCATAAGAGAAAAAGTAATATATATATATATATGTATATCCATAGAGATGAAACATTTCCAAAGGAAAGGAATAAATTGTCACATTTCCCCTTAATTTCTCTTCATCTGTTTCCTCCTTGGCTTCTTCAGTTTCATTTTATCAATCTTGTAAATCAAATATTCCCTTCTTTTTTTGAATGGTATATAATAGCTATAAAATTATAATATTACCCTTGGATTTTCTACTACATATATATCAAGTATCATTTGTTTCTAAATGTTCTTATTTTTTCAAACTGAGAATATGTCATATTATATGTCACCAAAAAACGTTCAGAACAAAAAAATAGATCCAGATGCAGCAACACAATACATTTTTCCTATCAATTCAGACAGAAGCCCAAACATAACGTTTGGGTGATGCCTTTAGAGTTAGAGTCTTTGACTGACTGACTGACTGAGTTTGGTTTTACGCCGCTTTTAGCAATATTCCAGCAACATCACGGCGGGGGACACCAGAAATGGGCTTCACACATTGTGCCCATGTGGGGATTCGAACCCGGGTCTTCGGCGTGACGAGCCAACGCTTTAACCATTAGGCTACCCCACTGCCCTTAGAATCTTTGAACGGCATTTAGAAGTTATATTAATAAACGCAAAACATATGTTTTTCCTTTCATGATATTG